AAAACGACTATTGTTTGAGAAATACGTGACTAATGCGAACAAGAAATTCCTGGAAGTGCCTGTGAAATTTAGAAGAAAAATATAAATGAAAATGACACGGATTTCGTAAAATACGTAAGTGGTAATATGGCTAACGAAAGGGAATGAATTATATTGACTCAAAATGCACATCTGAATAAATCAAAGTAAATGCATGAAGATGAATAATGATAATCATAGTAGTAACAATAAATAAATCTTTCCTATCACATCAAACACTTAAATAATACACATGACATCTAACACACATACACCACTTTAATGTTACTTTGGCAGACTTTCGTGGCCCTATGTTTAATATACTGTTAAGGAGAGCACCGGATCCAACACTTTTCCCTTAGTTTGCTCTCTCTCATATTTCCTATTCATGTGGCAAAAATAATATCCCTATTTATGTTTAAATAGGATTAATAAGAGCCATATCAATGAAGAGGATCATAACAGTACTTATATATTTATATTATAGAAATATCAGTATAGTCTATCTTTGAAAAAATACATATATCTTTTTTCTATATATATCTTTGTGTTTTCTGTCTAATTCAAATATCTTCTGAATAACCCTTTCTTTCTACTCAACTGATTAAAATAACGACGACCTATTATCCTAATCAACGACAATTATAAATCTATAGAAAGATATATATACATCTATGAAAATACATCAGTTAAAAATGCATTGTTTCTCTTCTCTGTTTTTGTGCTAGATTCTCAATCACAGATACAAATCTGAAATGATATAAAAATAGCTTAATTTATTATTTTTCCCGCTCTCATTTCAGGTCACACGCCTTCAGAAAAAAAATACGGACTTTAAACATCCACACATTTTTTTTTATTCATCATTTTTCTACTTTTGTCTATTCATTTTTCTACATTTTCACTGTTCTTTTTCTATTTCCTTTTTATTGCTTTTGTTCTTTTTGGTGTTGTTCGTTCCAAGTTTTTTCCCCTGAATTTGTAAGCATTTTTTCCATGTCAGAAAATTATTTTCTTTATGCTTTTATTTATTCTTTATCTTTTTCTTTCTCTAATCCTCTCTTTCTCTAATAATGATAAAATAAGAGAGTATATTCCGTTCATTAAGCATTAGATATATATTGTATTCATTAAATATACACACAGATAATAGAATGAGAGAGAGAGAGAGAGAGAGAGAGAGAGAGAGAGAGAGAGAGAGAGAGAGAGAGAGAGAGAGAGAGAGAGAGAGAGAGAGAGAGAGAGAGAGAGAGAGAGAGAGAGAGAGAGAGAGAGAGAGAGAGAGAGAGAGAGAGAGAACGGTTAATCAAAATATATTTCACAATTATTTTTCCTGTATTATTTATATATACGAATTCGCTTTATCGTCTTTTATCGATCTTTGGTTTTATTTTCCTTTCAAAGCAAATTTACGTTAAAGAAAAAGAAAAAAAAAATGAACTCTCACTTTTCACTCTTGCTTCTCTAATTCCTTCATCATCTCATATTTCTTTTGTTTTCTTTCAATCCCTCTTTCTCCTCTTTTCTTTAACAATGCCATTATTATCTTTCTTTACGCATTTTCCGCGAATTAGACCGAGTGCCTTCCTGTTTTTCTTTTCCCATTAATTATTTTCACCGAGTGCCTCCATGTTTATTTTTTTCCCCCATGAACTATTTTCACCGAGGAATCAAAGCACTGCTCTTTTCTCTCCCTGTTCTTGGACATCGTCTTGTTCCTTTTCCTTTTTTTCTCTCCGTAGAATATTCAAATTTGGAAGAATAAGAACATAAAATGACATTTCTCTCTATAGAATATTCAAATTTAGAAGAATAAGAACATAAAATGACATTTCTCTCTATAGAATATTCAAATTTGGAATAACAATATAAAATGACTTTTCTCTCTATAGAATATTCAAATTTGGAAGAATAACAATATAAAGAGTTTCCAATATTTGAATCCAAATGGGGAAGTGAGAGAATTAGAATAAAAATGGTGGCAGCGGTTGGGTAGTTGCCATTTATCTTTGACGAAAAAGAGCCAGGTTGCAGATACAGGCTTTAGAGGAGCAATTTCTATCTCTCCTTCTCCAATTACTTTCTATTTCAGTGTCTGTTTCGTTTCTCTCTTCGCTTTTCAAAATACCTTCTTGTTTCATTATCTGCGTCACTTGGATCTTCTGTTTTCTCATTTACCTCATTTCTGTCTTTCTTCTTTTCAAAAATGCTTTTTATTTCACTATCTGCTTCACTTCTCTCTTCTCTTTCCAAACTTCTTTCTATTTTCTTATTTACTTCATTTCTGTTTTCCTTTGTCAAAATACTTTCTATTTCATTATCTGCGTCATTTCTATCTTCCCTTTTCGAAATTACTTTTTGTTTCCTTTGTATCTTCCTCCTTTCAAAATATCTTATATTTTCTGACTTCATTTCCATCTTTTCCTTTTCGATATTTTCTATTTCCTTGTCTATTTCATTTCTATTTTCTCTCTTTCAAGACACTTTCTTTTTTATCTACTTAATTTCCATCTTTTCCTTTTCATGACACTTTATATTTCTTAATCTATTTCATTTCTATCTTCCCTCTTTCAAAAGATTTTCTTACTTATTTTTCCTTTCTCTTTTCCTTTTCTATTTCTTGATCTATTTCCTTTCTATCTTTTTCCCTTTTTCGAAATACTACGCAGTGCTTTGGGTGGAATGAATCCTCTGATTTCCTTTTAGACCTGATAACTGATAATATCTGATTCACAAAGAGGAAAGCGACCAACCTCCTTCCCTTAATTTTTCTTCTGACCTCTTTTTTTTCTTCTTCTGACCTCTTTCTTTTTCTTCTTCTGAACTCTTTGCTTTTTTCTTCTGATCTCTTTCTCCTTTTGTCCATATTTGAAAGTTCTTTTTTTCAGAATTGTGAAAGACATTCTGAGGGTGTCTTGGCAAGGTGTCAAGAGAGTCCTCTGGGCGCCTCTGGGTAGCCAAGGACGTCTCAGGGGGAATGGAGGACGTCCCAAGAGCGCCAGAGAGTGCCTAAGCTGTCTGTAAGTAACCAAGGGGGGAGGGGGGAGTTTCAGGGAAACGAAGGACATCTCAAAATCGTCCAGAGTTTCTTAGGACGCCCCGGAAGCAGCGAAGGATCTTTGTAGAGCAATCTCAGAGCAGCGAGAGACATCCTAAGACAATCTGGCTCCCCCATCTTAGGATCTTTGGACACGAGGCGATGCGAGATGCGAAGGAGGGAGTCTTGGGGGCGTCCAAGAAGAAAAGAAGGGCGTCCTAGGGTTTCCAAAGGGCGTTTTAGGGACGTGAAGCGCGTCCCAAACCCATCTCGTTCCCTTGTCCTGATGTCACTTGAGCTCGAGGCGAAGAAGGGCGTCCTAAAATTTCCCAGGGCGACTGGAGGCTACCCAAGGGACGTCGCACGGCCATGAAGGACTTTCCAGTAGCGTGAAGGACGTCCTGAGGATATGAGGGGGACGTCGCAGACTCTGGAAAACCCGCCCACCATTACGAAAGACATCCCAGGGCTATTCAAGAGCGTCCCAGGAATACAAAATGGCGTCCCGTCGACACGAAGCGCGTCCCCAGCTCCCAGACGACATTCTAGGAGAGCGAAGGAGCTCCCTAGGATCTCGAATACATCCCAGGGAGGACAAAGGGCGTCTCCGTCGTCCCCAGCTCCCAGAGGACATTCCAGGAGTGCGAAGGAGCTCCCTAGGATCTCGAATGAATCCCACAGGGTACGAAGGACGTCTCCCGCGTCCCCTCCTACGGTCGCTTGGGCTCGAGGCGTTGCGAGAGGGAGAGCAGACGCCGCTGGTTGTCAATCACCTGCAGGTTCTTCACGTAGACCCGGATCTCGCTCTCGTTCTTGGGGACCGGCGGCGCCTCCAGGGCTGCGGGAGACACGGCCTTAGACTCGGAAACTTCAGTCAACAAAAACAATATTTAGTTTTTAAAGCAATTATGAATTACGATTTACTGATTTATCGTTGATTCATCCTTCATTCATCGGCGACTCATTATTTTCATAATACAGAATCGTTATTCACCTCTTACTATCGACTCGTTGATAATTCATTGGTAATTGGTTCAAAAATCATCGCTTGCAACTCATGTATTCACTGACTCATCCCTCATCCACGCAATATTTACTCACCTTCTGATTTACTCACATTCCGTAATACTAGTACCTCAACATACTTACACTTCATCTACCAGTAAAGTCACTGACTCACCTCCTAACTCAACTCCCGACGCATGCACACCTCATCCACCCTTCAACTGACTCACCTCCTGACTCACCCATACCTCAATGATACACCCCATAACTCGCCCCAACTCTCATTCACCCATACACGCATCCTCTGACTCACATCAAACTCACCCTCTAACTTATCCACACCCCAACTCACCCCTCTGACTCATCCCATGACTCAACCGCACCTCAACCCTAAACCCACCTTTCTAACACACCCTTCTGACTCACCTCACACTCCAACCCATCCACTCCCCCCATGACTCCCCCTCCCTCCTATGACTCGCAACCCATCCAACCCCGACCCCGACTTCACCCTCCCCTAACTCGCCCCACAACCAAATCCATCCAACTTCCCCCCCCCCCTCTAACTCACCCCATGACTCCCACACCCCACTCTGACTCATCCTCCCCCCTTCCACTCACCCACCCCTCCAACCCATCTAACCCCCTATTGACTCCCCTCCCCTCCTGACTCATCCCCAACCCCCTCCCTCTGACTCTCTCCCCCTCTCCACCCCCCTCTGACTCTCCCTTGACTCCCCCCTCCCCCACTGACTCACCTTCCCCCTTTGACTCACCCCCCTCCCCTCTCCAACCCCCCCTCCCCCCCCCTCTCCAACCCCCTCCCTCCCTCCCCTCCCCCCCCCCCCTCCCCCCTCCCTCCCTCTGATTCACCCCCCCCAACCCACCCCCCGACTCACCCAGGGCTTCGACCGGCAGTATCGGATGGTGCGGAGTGTCTGGGCCAGCATGTGCATCTTCTCGAAGTTCACCAGACCCTCGAGGAACGTTCGGTTGCCCTCGTGGGTGAAGGTCATGTCTGGAACGGGGGGGAAGGTGGGGGAGGGGGGGAGGAAAGAGGGGAAGGGGGGAAGAGGGGTGGGGAGGGGGAGGGGGAGGGGAAGGGGTTAGGGTGGGGGGAGGGGGGAGAAGGAAGGAGGAAGGGGAGGGAAGGGGGGAGAGGGAGAAGGGAAGGAGGGGGGGGAGGGAGAGGAAGGAGGAGGGGGTGGGAGAGAAGGGAGAGAGGGGAGGGAAGGGGGGAAAGGGGAGAGAGGGAAGGAGGAAGGGGGAGGGAGGGGGGGAGGGAAGGAAGGGGGGGAAGTGGAGAGAGGGAGAGAAGGGAAGGAAGCAGGGGGGGAAGGAGGAGGGGGGAGGGGGGAGAAGGGAAGGGGGAATTTGGGAGGGGAGGGAGTGAAGGGGGAAAGAGGGAAATGAGAAAGAGGGAAGAAGAAATAGGGGAAAGGGGGAAGGAGGGGGAGAGAGAGAGAGAGAGAGAGAGAGAGAGAGAGAGAGAGAGAGAGAGAGAGAGAGAGAGAGAGAGAGAGAGAGAGAGAGAGAGAGAGAGAGAGAGACAGAAAAAAAAACATTATTTGAACTAGTCCATGTTTATCTTAAAAATATACCTATTTCACATATTCCTTCATCAACTCTTTAGAATCCAAATAAGAAACCACATTCTTGGCCTTTTAATTCACCCCAATTATACATTCAAGCAACAATGGAATTTAAAATGAGAGAAAACAAAACAAAAAAAATAAACATAAAATTTGGTGTAGTAGAAACCGTTATTCAACTTTATTCAAAATTATTTCAAACTAACGACAAAAAAAGGTGTTAACAGTGAATAACTAAAGAAATAAATCGATAAATAGAATTAATGTGAATAGAGCAGAGCGAAATTATTATGACACTATAATCCCTTTACGAGACACGTACTTCGTTATTCAAAATATCGTTAACAACCTAAAACAATTTACAAATGACTAATGACGTAATTATACATTTCCATTAAAAAAGATCCAACGGGATTAAAGCAATTTACAAGTGAATTAGGATTTCATACCATAATACAAACAAATAAGTTCAAACGAGCTTAAAATATTTTGCAACCGACGAGCTTAAAATAGTTTGCAACTGACGAGCTAAAAAGAGTTTGCAACTGACTAATAATTTGATAACAAAATACCATCTAATAATTTCTAACGAGCTTAAAATTATTTGGAAATGACATGATTTCATACCATCATACAACCAATTACATCCCTACGAACCTAAAATAATTTGTCACTGACTAATAATTCAATAACATCGAACTATCAAATGATTTCCGACGAGCTTAAAATAATTTACCAAAGACCAATGACTTAATATCAAAATACAACTGAGTTCCCACGAGCCTAAAATAAGTTACAGCTGACTAATGACTAAATACCATATTACCTTCAAATAATTCCCAAACGAGCTTAAAATAATTTACCTTTCATAAGAAGCGGCGTAAATGGCAAGATAGGAGGCTGAAGTTTGGCAACGTAGATCCTATAAGCTCTGTGGTTTCTCGAAGGATCTATCAACATTTCGAATTCGGTGTACATCTTTCGAAATCTGAAATGAGAAGTTGGTTGCTTATTATATACTTATCACTGGGTTCCTTTGAGTTTTTTTGTTGTGCAAATGGATCTTATTTTAAGTTATTGTTCATTTTTTATGATCGCATATTCATTTTTATCATTACAATCCCTTTACGCATTTTGAATTCCTTCAAAATGCTACCCCCATGAGATATTAAACCATCTCTTGTTTTTATTTTTATCTCTTGTTTTTATTGTTTTTATTTATTTTATTATTATTATTATTATTATTATTATTTGTATTTGCTTCCAGAATCATAATTAACCAACAATTAATAAAAAAAAGTAAAAAAAAAAAAAATGTCAACAATCCGCCATTTTCCTTCCTCTCCAGTGTTGCCACATCTCCACAAAATCAAAAACTTTTTACTTGGACGAGAGGCGCTCCCAGGTCTGCGTGAGGCGAGTGACGGCAACGTTGCTCAGGCCGATGACAATGGCAAAGAAAGCGTTCAGATTCTGCTCTTCCTTGCAGCTGGAAAGGAATTGGAATCCGTGTGGTTATAATCAGAATCTAATTGTTTCCCGTTAGTGGTTATAAACACAACCAGAAATCTAATTCTTCTCCGTTTGTGGTTATAGAGACAATCAGAATCTAATTGTAATCCGCTGGTGCTTATGAACATAATCAAAATATAATTGTTATTCGGTGGAAATTCGGAAAATTAGTTTAGGGAAATTATTACATCTCTGCTCAGCTCTCGTGGTGTCGACAATCATTATATATTAAACCTGTTTGGGTTTACCGGAACCATGTTGGCTGAAGCCTTTATATTTCCCTCTCTTATTTTGATTTTATGAGAGAGAGAGAGAGAGAGAGAGATGAGAGAGAGAGAGAGAGAGAGAGAAGAGAGAGGAGAGAGAGAGAGAGAGAGGAGAGAGAGAGAGAGAGAGAGAGAGGAGAGGAGAGAGAGAGAGACTGCAATAAGGTGAGGAAAGAGAAGAGAGAGAGAGAAGAGAGAGGATAGATAGAGAGAGAGATAGATAGAAGAGAGGAGAAAGAGTTAGAGATAGAGGGAGATGGACGATAGAGAGATGACAAGATAGTAGAAGAAAAGAGAGAGAGATAATGAGAAAGAGAGAGAGAGAGTGCAGAAAAGTAAGAAAAAGAGAGAAACTGAAACGAGACAAGTATTTCAAACAAAGAATGTCTGTCTAACTAACTACCCTCCCCTCCCTCCTCTACCTCCTCCTCCACTTCCCCTTCCTCTCTCCCCTTTCTCCCCTCCCCTCTTCCCTAACCTCCTCCCTTCCCTCTCCTCCTCCCTCCCCTCTACCCCTACCCTCTCCCACCCTCTACCTCCCTTTCCCCCTCCTCCTTCCCCTCTCTTCCCTACCCTACCCCTACCCTCTCCTCTCCCTACCCCTCTCCTCCCCCCTCCCTCCCCCTTCCCCCCCTTCCCCTACCTCCCCATTCCCCCTACACCCTCCCCTGAGACTCACTAAGCCGCCAGCTTGATGAACTTCCGAAGCAGCTGCGCCCGCTTGGACAGCCCTCCCTTCCCCCTACCCCTCCCACCCCTTCCCTCTCCCTACCCTCCCCTCTAACCCCCCCCTCCCCTCTCCCTCTCAAGACTCACTAAGCCGCCAGCTTGATGAACTCCTCTCCCCCTAACCCCTTCTCCCCCCCTCCATCCAAGACTCACTTAAGCCGCAGCTTGATGAACTTCCGAAGCAGCTGTGCCCGCTTGGACAGCCCTCCCTTCCCCCCTACCCCTCCCCTCCCCCCCTCCCTACCCCCTTTCCCCCCTTCTCCCCTCCTCCCCCTTCCTCCCGAGACTCACTAAGCCGCCAGCTTGATGAACTCCCTCTTCCCCCTACCCCCCTTCCCCTCCCTAACCCCAACCCCTCCCCTTCCCCTAACCCTCCCTACCCCCTTCCCCCCAAGACTCACTAAGCCGCCAGCTTGATGAACTTCCGAAGCAGCTGCGCCCTCTTCGACAGCCCCTCCCTTCCCCCTACCCCTCCCACCATTCCCCCTACCCCACCCCCCTCCCACCCTAACCCTTCCCCCCTTCCCCCCCTCCAAGCTCACTAAGCCGCCAGCTTGATGAACTCCCTCTCCCCCTCTACCCCCCCTTCCCCCTTCTCCGAGACTCACTAAGCCGCCAGCTTGATGAACTCCCTTCCCCCCTAACTTCCCCTCCCTCCCCTCTCCCTTCTACCCCCCCCCCCCGAGACTCACTAAGCCGCCAGCTTGATGAATTCCCTCTCCCCCCTTCCCCCCTCCCTCTCCCCCCCTTCCCCCCTTCCCCCCTTCCCCTTCTCCCCCCTCTCCCGAAACTCACTAAGCCGCCAGCTTGATGAACTTCCGAAGCAGCTGCGCCGTCTTGGACAGCGCGCACGATGTGAGGCACATCTCGGAGACGACCCAGTACTGAGCTCGTTGAAGCGACCGGGAGACACGTCAAGATGCACTCCCTCACCGAAGTGGAATGGTCGCGCCGCTTCAACCTCGTACAGGCGGTACTGTGGTAATTCGTACTAGTGGGGTGGTGGGTTGATGGAGGGGTTGAGGTGTGGGTGGGGTCTTGGAGGGAAGAGGGGTTGGGGGAGGTTGGGTGGTGGGAGGGGAGGGGGTGGATGGTGAGGTGGGGGGACCGGGGGACGGCTGGGGGGATGGGGGAGGGTTGGGGAGGCGAAGGTGAGAGAAACGAGGGGGTGGGGGGATGGTTGGGGAAGGTTGGGGAGGGAGATGGGATGGGGAGAGGGGAGTTGGTTGTAAGGGTTGGGTGGGGTGGGGGGGGGGGGGAAGGAGGGCGAGGGAGAATTTTGGGGAAGGGGGGATGGTTGGGGAGAGTGCGGTGCGGGTGGAGAATGGTTGGGGAGGGAGGTGAAGGGAAGAAGGGGGGGGGGGGAAAGGGGGAGGAGGGGGAGGAAATGTTGGGGAAAGGGGGGAGGTTGGGAGGGGAAGGAAGGAGGGAGAAAATGGGGAAGGGGAAGAAAGGGGGATGGGATGGGTGGGAGGGAGAGAAAGAGATAAAAAAAAATGTGATTAAAATAGCGAAGGGAGAGAGCAAGGAAATTATAATAAAAAATAAAATAAGAAAATAATATTCAAATACACACACACTCACACACACACATATACATATATCGCCAAGAAAATGTACTTAATATTAAAAGATTGAGATAATGAAAAAGAAATATTAAAACAAGAAAACAATAACGACATAAAAAGATATTATAATAATCAAAATATCGCATACGATGATAAATGAAAAAATATGAAAAAAATGAATTTCCTTATAAAAAGAAAGAAAGAGAGAGAAGACAGAGAGATAAAAATAGGACGAACAATAAGAGAAATATGAAAGCGAAAGAGAGAAAGAGAGAATATTAAAAAAAAGAAAAAATAGTTTTGATATGAGAAGTGAAAGAGGGAAGGAGAGTGATAAAAAAAATGATGGTCAAAATAATAGGTGCAATTACTAGAGCTCAGGGGAGAAAGGGGTGAGATAAGAAAAAAAAAAAAAATAATAATAAAAAAATAAAAAAAATAGATAGATAAAAAATAAAAAAAATAAATAAATAGATAAAAAAAAAAAAAAAAACTGAATTGCAAGAAACATATCATGTGTGTGTATGTATATGTATGTTCATATAAGTATAAATATGTATATATAAGTATATATATGTATATCTATATATCTATATATCTATATAATCTATATATATATATATATATATATATATATACACACATGACTACACAATTTTTATAGCAACATTCATGTGATAAAGCCCATTCATATACACCCATAACACTTCACATACACTCACGAGTCGCTCGCATGTACACAACACACACACACACACGCACATACATACACGTACATACACGTACATGCACGCACACATACATACACATACATACACATACATACACACACACACCCACACACATACATAAACATACACACCCCACACCTCAATACCCATACTCACTTACATACCCCTACAAACCATGCCCACACACCCACACCCATACCTCACACTCCTACGCCCACACACACATACCCACACACCCACACTCCTACCCCCACCCACACACACCCACATACCCACACCCCTACCCACACACCCACGCCCACACACCCACACCCACACATACCCACACTCCTACCCCCCCCACACATACCCACACATCCACACCCACACTCCTAACCCCACACACCCACACCCACGGACCCACACCTATACCCACCCACACATACCCACACACCCACACTCCTACCCCCACCCACACCCACCCACTCACCACACCCACACATACCCACATGCCCCACACTCTTACCCCACCCACACATACCCACACACCCACCCACCACACCCACACTCCTACCCCCACCCACACATACCCACACCCACCCATACCCCACACCCACACTCCTACCCCCACCCACACACACCCCACACACCCACACCCACACACCCACACTCCTACCCCCACCCACCCACCCACACATACCCACACACCCACACTCCTACCCCACCCACCCACCACACACCACACACTCCAGCCCCCACCCCACCCACATACCCACACATACCCACACCTACCCCACCTACACCATACCCACACACCCCACACCCACACTCCTACCCCCACCCACACATACCCACATACCCACACACATACCCACATACCTCATGAATAGCGCTGAACAGATCCCAGTCATGTGCTGTGATGTGAAATGCCAACTCCTCGTGCTGTACATCTCCAGCTGGTTGATGCTGCCCTCAGATGGTCCCTCTTGCTCGGGGATGGGGGTCTGGGGGAGGGGGAGGGGTGATGAGGGGGTGGAGGGGAGGGAGGGGGTGGGGGAGGGAGGGGGAGGGAGGGGATGGGGGTAGAGGAGGGGGAGGAAGGTAGGAGGGACAAATTGGAGGAGTAGGAGGAAAAAAGTTATGTTAGTTTAAATTTTGTTGTGTGATTATATGCAATATATATATATATATATATATATATATATATATATATATATATATATATATATATATACATATATATATATATATATATATATATATATATATATATATATATATATATATATGTGTGTATTGTATATATATATATATATATATATATATATATATATATATATATATATATATATATATATATATATATAATATATATATATATATATATATATATATATTATATATATATATATATATATATATATATATATATATATATATATATATATATATAATATATATATATATATATATATATATATATATATATATATATATATATATATATATATATATATATATATATATATATATATATATATATACAATACACACACACCACACACACACATACACACACACACACACACACACACACACACACACACACACACACACACACACACACACACACACACACACACACACATATATATATATATATATATATATATATATATATATATATATATATATATATATACAATAGCAATATATCATATATGCATCATTAGCAATAAAAACATTTACTAACATTATAGTCATTACTTTAAAAAAAATGCTAATCATTTATACTATCATTCTTCATGACATGAAAACTACAGTTGCTATCCTCATCAACAACAATAACAAAACAGCAACAACAACAGTTACAATTTTTGTTATCATTATCATCACTCTCACACGCACAACATGAAAATATAATCACCATTATCACAATTACCATTACAACCATTATAAAGACATTGATGACAATTGGTCTTATCACCATCATCATCATCATAAATAAACAACAAATAGACAATAAATAAACAGAAGAAAACTTAATTATCCCGGCCCTTAACAACATCCAAATAACAATAATAACAATAATATTGACTCTTCACATCATCACAATTATTAATTTCACGCTAATAACAACAAAAACAACAACAAAAACACTTACCTGTCTCATTATCATTTTCAAAATCATTATTATCTTAACAACAACAACAACAACAGTAAAGTTATCATCTTAACAACAACAACAACAGTAATGTTTATTCCTCTCATCATCATTACATTATTTTCTTATCGCCTAACAACAACAACAGTAAGGTCTATTATTCTTATCATCATCATTATCACAACCATTCCTTTCTCACTACAACTACAGTCACAAAAATACTCCCAATTCTCCTTATTATTAATTTAATCACGATCATCATTCCTACAACAAAAACAAAAGCCCCTACAACATTAGCGACGACCTCTACAACATCAATAATCACCTCTAAAACTACAACAGAAACTTTTACAACCTCTGCAACATCGACATCTACATATACATCATCTATAACATGAATAATCCCCTACAACAAAAAACATCAACAACATAACACCCACAAAAACATCAACTACAACCCCAACATTAATAACAAAACATCAACATCAAACTACAACACTCCCTATAACCCTAGCACCCCTAACAACCAATCTACAACCTCTACAACCCCTATAAAAAAATTAACAACAAAAACATCAGAAACCTCTACAACAAATCTACAACCTCTAAAAGAACAACAACCCCTATACCAACAACAATACAAACACCAAAAGCACCAACAACCCCCAAAACAATCTACAACGTCTACAAAAAACAACAACCATACAACAAAACAAACACTCAAAACACTAACAAACCCTACAACCTTTTACAACCCCTACACCAACTACAACAATTTACAACCCCTACAACAACAAAACAAACACCCAAAAGCACCAACAACCCCCCTAAAAAAAATCCACAACCCTTACAACAAAACAAACACCCAAAACACCCAACAACCCCCCCCCAAAAAAAAAAAAAGTCCACAACCTCCCCAACCAACAACCACAACCTCTCACCAGGGCGTCGAGGTGGTCCTTGTGGCAGACGAAGAGGCGGCCGTTGAGGGTGAGGCCAGTCGGGGGGCAGACCTCCTTGTCTCTGAGGGTGATCACCTCGCCTGGGAGGGAGATGGGGAGAGGAGGGTTGAGAAAGAGGGGGTGGAGGAGTGTGGGGTTTAGATGATTGGGGGAGGGGAAGGGGGAGGGGGATGGGGGGGGAGGGGGAAGGGGTGGGATAGGGGGAGAGGTTGAAATGAGAGAGAGGGGTGGGGGTGTGTGGGGAGGGAGGGGGAGGTTGAAAAATAGGGGGGGGTTAGAGGGGGAGGGTGAAAAAAGGGGGAAGAAGGGGAGGGGGTTGAGATAGGGGGCAGGGGGAGGGGGGAGAGAGGGGGAGGGGAAGGGGTGAGAGAGGGGAGGGGATGGGGAGGGGATGGAAAATAGGAGGAGGGGAGGAGGAGGGGGTGAAAAATAGGGAGAGGGGTTGAAAGAGGTGGGAGGGAGGGAGAGGGGGTTGAAATAGGAGAGTTAGGGGGGTTGAGATAGGGGGAGTTGGAAGGGGGAAGGGGTTGAAAATAAGGAGGAGGGTAGGGGAGGTTGAAATAGGGGAGTGGGTTAGAGGAGGGAGGAGAGGTTTGAGATAGAGGAGGGGAGGGGGAGAATGAAATAGGGAGGGGAGGGAAGGGAGGGATTGAAATAAGGGGGGAGGGAGGGGAGGGGGTTGTAAATATGGGGGAGGGGAGGGAGAGTTTTGGAAATAAGGGGAGGGGAAAGGAGAGGAGGAGGAAGACAGGATGGAGGGAGGAATTAGAAGTGGGGGTAAGGAGGGAAGAGAGGAGGGGAGGGGAGGGGAAAGGGGAAGAGCAGATAAGAGAAGCCAAAGATGAAATAAAAAAAATAAAAAAGAAAAATACACACCTAAAATGATTTAAATCCAAAATTTACCTCTACTTTTTCGAGATGTGTAATTTTTCTATTATTATGATAAATCAATACCAAAAAAAAATCTTATTTCCAGGTGGAGTAATTAAGTGAAAAACTTATTATGGAATGGAAAAGATTATGATTCAATAAGCGAATAAGAATATTTCTAAGAATGTCCATTTCTAAAAGATACTTAATTTCTTAATGAAATACTTAATTCCTTCATGGTACTTCATGGAAGCGTAATTTTAAGAAATAAATGTGTTTCAGATTTTAGGAACAAGTTGTAGAAAAGTTTCAATAATTGAGAGAGGCTTGTAGAGACAAATATCAATGTTGATGATCACACATACATATTTATGGAAAACTCTTCTATCAGTTTAAAATTTCACCCAAATGAATGTCAAATCTCATTCATTCCAAAAATCCAAAACACAAACTTTCTTTTCCACCATCTTGACAAAAAATGTCATAGAAAACGTTAGTAAGGAAAAAAGAGAGAGGGGAGACTCAAGAAATTCTCACCATTCGACTTGAGTTCGACCAGCAGCAGATGTTCCAGCCTCAGACCCAATTTATCCGCTGCCGATCGCTTGATAGTGTCACTGGTCGTCTGAAGGGGGAATCTTAGGGTGCAATAAGTGTGGTCGGCGCAGTAGACACGGAAGATTACTGTTTAAAAAAGAAAGAAAATGAAAATGAATACCATAGGAAGATGTTAACGGCATCGGTGTTTTTTTACTTTCGAGGATTTTTTTTTTTTCGAGGAAGAGTAACTAAGGTCGTTTTGTATTGATATGTTCGTGACGTTCGTAAAAATCCTTGATTTATATCGATTACCAACAGATGGTACGGCGAAATAGCTATGATATATTTCTGTATTGAAAAAACTACTATATTGAAAGAGAGTGAGAGAGAAAAAAAAAAAAAAAGAAAGAGAGAGAGAGAGAGAGAGAGAGATAGCGACCAATTTCACGAAGATTAATAAATAAATGAGAAAAAATCAGCTCCACCATTTTCTTTATCAACCATAAAACTCATGAATATATATAATATATATAAATATAAAGTCTATAGACGTTATTCCACAGGCTAAATGCATTTATGAATCACTTTTTAAGCAAGAGGTAGGTTCAGCTTTCATTTATGAGAGGAGAGGTATTCGTAGCACCATCTGTTGGCAAGCGAGGTAACTAAACTGGACAGGATTCTACGTCATGATCAACAGCGCAGAGTTACCCTTCCTTATTCTTAACCTTCCTTGGTTTGCGAATCCGAAACACGATTCAGAAAGGGATTCGATTCGTGGGAAAGGATTCGATTCCTCGCTGAAGATGTGTTTATCTCTTTTTTTTTTGTGATTAATTCAGGAAGGCAAAGAAAATTAAATAAAGAAAAAGAAAAAAGGAGAATAGAGAAAAAAATAAGTAAAAAGTGTTCAGGAGAAATACAAAGAACGAAAGATGGAAAGAAATGAAGGTCGATATAGAAAGGAGAATAAACAATAGAGACAGAGAAAAAAGGAAGAAAACTTTGACAAAAACACAAAGACAAATAAAATCAAACATAAATATCTACATCTAACACTTCCTGTACTCTATTAAATACTCAAATTTAATCTTCTAGATCATTCAGCATTTCAAATTTTAAAACAGTGATACTACAGACAACATAAAAGCCATTTATTACTAACAAACTCCTAAGAGACAAAGCACGTTTTCTATAAGAGTTACAAAGAGCAGTTTACGTTTTCTATGAAGTTGCAGAGAAAGGGTCTACACAGTCCGTCTTAAGATAATTTTTTTTTTGTTTGTTTGTATTTTACTTCTTTTGTTTTGTTTTTACTTCTTTGTTTGTTTGTTTTGTCCGAATGTCGAATTTCGTTTTTTTTCTATTTTTTTAGTTTTGTTTTGTTTTTTGTCCGAATGTCGAATTTCGTTTTATTTTTTTGTATTCTTTAGTTCTATTTTACTTCTTTTGTTTGTTTGTTTGTTGTCTTCCTTTTTTTCGGTAAACCTCAATTAGTGATATCAATAATGTGGTTTATTATTGTTATTATTTTCATTGGTAGTAATACTATTATCATTATTATCATTTTTATCATTATTATTGTTATTATTATTATTATTATCATTATCATTATCATCATTAATCTTATCATTATTAGCATCAATATTATTATTGTTATCACCATTATCATTAACATAATTATCATTTTTTGCTATAATATTCATTAACATAATCCTTTTCATTATCAACATTAGTGGTAGCAGTAATATTATCATCATTATCTCCATTATCATTATTATCATTTGTAATATTATCATTATCATTATCATTATTATCATTTGTAATATTATCATTATCATTATCATTATTATCATTTGTAAGATTATTATTATTATCATTATTATCCTTTGTAATATTATTTTTATCATTATCATTATCACTATCATTTTTATCAGAATTACCTTCATTCTCATTCTCATCATCATCATCAAAATTTCTAAACAAATCCTCCGAATATTCCTTCCCGCATATCATCTCAATTACGAATTTCACTAATTTACGTAATTACGAATTTCACTAATTTCACGTAATTACGAATTTCACTAATTTACGTAATTGCGAATTTCACAATTAATTTTCACTAATTTTACGTAATTACAATTTCACTAATTTACGTAATTACGAATTTCACTAATTTACGTAATTACGAATTTCACTAATTTACGTAATTACGAATTTCACTAATTTACGTAATTACGAATTTCACTAATTCCGGACTGCAACGAAGCAACTTTTTGCAAAGACTGAGACACCGTAGAAGAAGCACAAGAAACTTGATCAATCTCAGCGCTTGGAATAAGAGACACAAGTGGATTGCCGAGAGACAACTAAAAGGGGGGGAAGTTAATGCTATACTGAGAGGAATGTGAGAGAATTTTTGGTCTTACAGGACATGGATTTCAGCCGAGAGATATTTCTGGAAAAAAGAGAATGTGACTAATCTATGATGCGTTAGAGAAATATAGGTATATTTTTATTGGTCATTCTGTTTGTTTGTTTTTCATCTGGTGATTATATATATATATATATATATATATATATATATATATATATATATATATATATATATATATATATGTAAAGGAATTTCCATTATATGGAGACCTGCTTAGCCCAGCATTCTGAACCAAGCAAGCTCTCCGAACCAAACAAAAAAATCAATACACTATTTACCCAAAAAACACCCCAAAAAAGCAGAAAAAGACCAATAAACATATAACAAGAACCATAAAGATAAGATATATATATATATATATATATATATATATATATATATATATATATATATATATATATAACCAAGATAAAAAAAAAAGAGAGAAAGAGAGAGAGAGAAGAGAGAGGAGGCCAAAATACATTACCGAAAGACGACATCAAAAGGTGCGACACAGAACTAGCCGGTGCCAAGATGCCGTCCTTACTGTCATCCTGTGCCCTCATCATGCGGTGCGGCTCCACGCAATCCTCGTGGGACGACACCCCGAAGAGGCTGATGGGGCGGCCGCTGGTGGGGAGCTTCCACTTGTTCACGCCCGCAGCCGAGCCGTCCCTCTCGTGGCGTTCGAGGGCGTCGGCGACACTCAGCATCAGGCCAGCCTCTTCCCGGAGCGCCGAGCCGAAGCACTCCATGTCCTGGGCGACTTCCTCTTGGAGCGTCTGGGGTGGGGTGGTGGGGGGGGGGGAAAGGGAGGGGGGGAGGGAGGAGGGAGGGAGGAGGGGTGGGTAAAGGGGGGAGGGAGGGATGGGTAGAGGAATGGGTAGAGGGGGGAGGAGGATGGGGGATGAGAGGGGTTGGAGAGAGAGGGAGGGGTTGGGGTTTAGGGGAGAGAGAGGGGAGGGTTGGGTTGAGGGTTGAGAGGGGAGGGGGTATTGGGATTGAGGGGGAAGGGAGGGGTTAGGGGTAGAGGGGAATGGGGGAGGGAGAGGGTAGGGGTTGGGGAGAGAGCGGGGAAGGAAAAAGGGGAAGGGGTTGGGGAGAGGGTAGAGGTTGGAGAGAGAGGGGAGAAGGAAGGATAAAGGGGGGAGGGGTTTGAGTAGAGAGGAAGAGGGGGAGAGGTTGGGATATGGGGTTAAAGTGGGTGGATGGGAAGATAGAGGGATGGTCGGAGTTGAGGAAGAGGGGAGGAAAAGGTAGGGGTTAGGGAGAGGATAGGGGAGGTTGGGAGAGGGTTAGGAGGGGGGTTAGGGAGAGAAGGAGCAGGTTGGGGTGAAGGGGAAGAAGATGGAAAGTTGGGGATAGGGATGAGGTAGAGGAGAAGGATAGGAGAAGGATAGGGGAAGAAGCAAGAAGGAATAGGTACAGAAGGATGGGGGAGGAGAGAGGTGAGGACAGAGAAGGAGAGGAAATCAATGGACAATGACGAGAGAAGAAAAAGAAGAAAAGAAGACGAACAAAAAATTAAATTCAAATTACAACATCAAACAATAAAAATCCCAATAAAAAAAAAAAAAAAATCCCAACACAACACCTCTACTTTATATCAAAACCATCTTCCTAACCACCCCAATAAAACAACAAACAAACACACACACACACACACGCAAACTGAGACATAATCAACCCATACTAATTAAGAATTCTAATTAATTCCAGGAATTCGTCATTGAAATTCCACGATTCCATAGCCTTTCAATCGAGCATTAAAAGAAGCCACACAGATTTCACGGTGTTAATTAATTAATTGAGTGTTATCAATGAGATTTAAGAAAAAATGATAAAGTAAAATTAATTCCTTTGTTGACTTAATTGTGACTTTTCTTGGGGTTGGTTTGTGTTTTTTTATTGTGTGTTTCTGTTTTTTTTTTCTCTCTCTCTTGTTAGGAATTAGATAAAAAGGAAATAATTATCTGTGGTTTTGATGGATTGTTTGTTCCTCTCTCTCTCTTTCTCTCTCTTCTCTCTCTCTCTGTCTTCTTCTTTCTTTCTTTAATCTCTCTCTCTCTTTCTCTCTCTCTCTCCTCTCTCTCCCTCTCTCTCTCTCTCTTCTCTTCTCTCTCTCTCTCTCTCTCTCTCTCTCTCTCTCTCTCTCTCTCTCTCTCTCTCTCTCTCTCTCTCTCTCTCTCTCTCTCTCTCTCTCTCTCTCTCTCTCTCTCTCTCTCTCTCTCATCTCTCTCTCTCTCTCTCTCTCTTCTCTCTCTCTCTTCTCTCTCTTCGTCTTTTTTATGGTTATCATTACTAAATAGATTTTGATTTAGCGTGTTAGGAATAAAATGAGATATCAATAATAATAAAAATATCCTATTTATTAGGATTTGTGTTTGTGCCTCTTTTTTGTCTTGTGATTTTTTTTCAATTATTATAAAAAAAAGAAAAAATAGCTTGTTAGGAATTAGATATAAAAAGAAAAATATTCACTGTGTCTGAGGATTTTTTTGTGTCTCCGCTTTTTTATTTTGATTGGTTTATTTTATTACTATTTTTATGCATCAGATAGATTTTGATCCAGTGATTTTTTTTTTGTCTTCTTTATATTCTTCATCCGTTT